AGAGGATGGTACAAAGAATGCAAGCCTGGAGCCCCTAATGGAAAAAGAGCCTATCTTACGGCAGAGCCTTCCCATCCACACCCGCATTTTTTCAGCCAGTTTTCCACCCCCTGCACTTTCGCTACCAGGCAGTTGGGATGTCTCCGTGCAGCAAGACTCATTCCAACTGGCAGCTCTGGATCAAAGAGCACTGGAAGCATTAATCAGTGTGCCTAATCATTTCCAATCGCAAGAAACTTTTCTCTGTGACCTGGCGTATAAACACCGAGTCATTTCATTCACTGGCTGACGGACCAGAAACCAAACAATCCTTATCGTACCTAATTCATCTTACTCCTGTGGGTTATAGATGGATCAGCCTGCAATCCTCCAGCAGCAGTGGCAAACTTTAGGTGCTTTACTTAATCAAACTGATTAGCAACCTGTCTGCAGCACTTTTTATCTGCTGGTGCCAAAATAGTTTACAAGCATTAAGTGCACCTAATTTTGCGATAGGGAAGCAAGATGTGGTGACTGTATTCAAAAGCACCTCCAGTAATGCGGGGGAGCTCTTGCTTTAAGGGGGTGAGGAGGTTCAAGGCAGCAAGTTTTGCTGATGCATGAAAACCGCTTTGAAAATTAAAAGAGCGAATGGCAAAGCCAGGGAGGGAGCCCAGGAATTTTGATTGCCAGATATCTGTGCAGCCCATATACTACCATATGGTTTGTTGCAAAAGGAAAAGAATAATCAAACCAGACACCCGTGCCCAAAGCCCTTATCTATTTGGGCACCATCCTCTGGACAGTCACACTCTGAGCACAAACAAAGGGTGATCAGATCTCCTCTCCCCTTGGCTGGTCCACAGGGGAATATGGTGCCTCCTGCACTGGTTCAGGTTAATATGTGTGTGATTGCCACCTGTTTGGGAATTTGCTCCCATGGCAACACTGATTTCTTACTTAATGCCAAGAGCAGAACAACAGCCCTGTCACTGTTGCAAGGAAAGCTCACAAAAAGCTGAGGTTGCTTTAGTTTTCCTCAGTTTTGCACTTGGGTGCCCCCGACTTGGGGAAATAAACACTGAAATAATTATGCCAAAGGTTAGCCTGTTCCAGGGCAGCTTGTTCCCGCTTTGAAGGAGAGAGATGTGAGGGGTGGCACAGAAACCTGCTGCTACACCTGACAGACTCTCATGGATAAGAGCCGGTGATGGAGCCCCACAGGAGCAGTTTGCAAGCTTGCACAACCTGCCTTGAACTCTGCTCAAAACTATCCCATTCTTTTCTTCAGTGCATGGTGCCAGAGGCAATCCAGCTCCCTTTCTGCTCTCTCCTGGACATAAAGTAATACTTCTTACCTTGAGGGTAGGTGCCTTCAGGGAGAAGTGTGGGGAGGTGAAGAAAGGCTGGAAGAGATGCACAAGCACATAGACTTCCCTCCTGCATCGATTCAACTCCATCTGCTGTGATGGAAAGTTAAATGAAGGATTTCCTGGTGGAATGGCTGCCAACCCAAAGCTTGGGAGAGCTGGTTTTCAACACCTGCTCAGCCACAAGCTTGCTGCCTGGCCTTGCACAAGTCACTCAAAAGCCAGATGTATGATGGTTCTGACATATCTGGCTCCTGGAAGGAAGTCCACGACACCGAGCTTGTTGGACACAGAGGATTAGGCATCTATGAATAAGTTTGGCACAAGGCAACACATCCAACAATGGCTGCCAACCAGGGTAAGAGGAGATGCAAAACGACAGGACCAAATCTCCCCCAGGTCTCTGCCACTTCAATCACAAGTCTCTGAGGGAGCCTGTTGGTGGGGAGGGGAGCGAGGGGCCAATTCACTCTCTGTTGGTGCAGCACCTGCGGTGGTTTAGAACACTATCAGTCCTTGCTCCCATCTCTCTGCCCCAGGTTTCCACAATTGTTCACAGACCCCAAACTGTGCTTTATCCCTTTGATCCCCAGTCCCAATCTGCTGCAGAGGCCCATAAACATGACTGGACAAGCAGAGGACAGACAGGACAGCTGATAGCAGTAATACTTCCATGAGCTTTAGGGAGCAATGCCAGGGCTTTGCTTTTCTCTCTCTGCAGATGGCTGGGGACAGGGATTTTGTAGCTCTGCTTTTCCCCTGGTGGTCAGGTAGTAGGAAAAGGGAAGATTGGATATGGAGTTGTGCACAAACTCTAGGCAGCTCTCAAAAGGCAAGCAGAGCCGCGTCTTCCTGACATTATGTGCAGAGAGTGCCGTTTCTTTGCTGACCTAGCTGAGACAGCATTAAGTTTTGGTAGTATTTCAGTACCCTGGGGCTACAAGGTCCAGAGCAGGCAGGGGAGAGCCACTCCACTGGTGTCATTGCCAGGCTCACCCCAGGCTGAGCGCTCCCACCACCATCACTCCAAACACTGGGGAGCTGTATCAGCATCCCACGCACCTCTTGGGTTTGCTACCATTTCTGTAGCTGCTCAGCTGGCCTTCTCCTGTCACCAAAATGGGAATAAGGACAGAAGGCAGAGGGAGTGCCTCAGTCTCAGAGTAAGAAAAGCAGAGATAGGCAGAGACTAAAATATTCCCTCATATCAACCATTCAAAAATCCCTTTTTCCATAGATAACCAACTTGTTTTGCACCTTTCCTAGGCACTGGCTGAGGATGACAGTGGGGAAAGTCTCAGGAGCTGTAACATCAAGATCACCCTTCCCTATACCTGACAAGTGCCAAAAAAAAAAAAAAAAAGAAAAAAACAGGAACTCATGGAAGAAAAAGTGCTGCTGCTTCTGCTGTAAGGTCGAAACTGGGAATGCCAAAGTCGTAAGAAAGTGAACTGTTTTGATAGTGATGAATGCCACTAAACTCTCCTGAACCAAACACAAACCACACAGCCTGCGTGTGCTGAACAGCCTTTCTGACAAAAACAAGGGTCAGTTTCTCAGCTATCACAAATCAACCGAAATCCATCAAGGTCAACAGAGAAGCACTGATTTCCCTAAGTAAATCAAACATGGTTCTCCTGCTGCTTCTTAAGGAAGACAATAACTGTGGAGATGATTTTTCCAAACCCAGGTGAAGCTGCTGGCATGCCTTCCCTGCAAGGAGAAAGGCAGAGCTGCTGTGGAGAAAGTAGCTTAGCAAAATCTTGGATGAATCACAGCCAAAGGTCCATCTTCCTTCAGGTCAGGAGAGACGTGGGTGAGTTCACTGGGCCCTGGCATTGCAACTGAGCTCCCATGCAGCTACTGAAGGTGATGTATCCTTCCTCTAAGCAAGGCTTTTTCACCTCAGCCTTGGCACTAATGGCAGGCTCCAGAGCTCAAGGACCAGAGCAATCGTCTGTCTGCACTTATCTGCACCGATGGGCTCTACACAAGAACTAAGTGCTTGATGCAGTTCTGGTGACTGTGAGAAGCACACACTGCTGTCATATCAAAGGGAGACAAGGAAAATGGGGAGAGAAGCACTGGGAGCTCCTTTTTTCCTCATCCCCTTTCAGTCACTGGAAATTCATTACCGGTAACAAAAAATATGGTAAGATACACTAAAACACCCAAGTCTGGGCACACCGTCAGAGCAGGATTGCTGCTAGGCACTCCTGTCCTGACCTGTTGCATTTTTGAAGTGTCTATGGTTACCCTTCCTATTCTGTATTTATTTGCTAACGTGATTTGAAAATGGGTTAAAATGAAACACTTGCCATTTTGCAGAAGCTTAAGTAAAAAGGAAAAAATTGGAGATAACCAAAACCCCATGCTTGACCTCTCCTCATCCTCACTTTTCTTTAGCTTGTTTATCAGAATGCATTTAACTTAAGGAAACCGTTATTATGTGAGTAAACATTTTAATTAAAAAAAAAAAAAAGCTAAACAGAACAAAAGAACAGCACTGAAGAAAGAAAAGGGAGAAAAGTACAGCTTTTTTGGTCCTGTGAAATACATCTGATTTGTTCAAAAATTAGAATGAAATTCGGGGATTAAACAAATTTATCCCACAACCCCCACCATTCTCATGGTTTTACTCACATTCTCATGGGACTAAAAACTCATACTTTTCAGATGGCTCAAAGATACACCATGGATGTGAGGTTTACAATCACATCATCACCCTACGGGTTAAAAAATAAACATGAAACATTCTGCCATCCATCAGTGAATTAATGTCAAATAGGTGAAGGAGGTTTGCACTTCAGTTATTCAGTCAGCCAAAATTAAGAAATAGAAAAAAAACATCAGAAAATCAAGGTGTGCTGTGCCCAGGAAGGAGGTCGTCCAAAGGCCCTGGAGCATTTCTCTGCCTGGGGAGTCCAGCCAGGCCTCAGCATGCCAGGGAGTGGCAGAGCCTTGCATCCTCCCAGGGTCCAGCAAGGGCTCGTGGCACCCCAGCTGCAGCCAGCAGGACAGGTACATGTAGGAAGGAGAAAGCTTGGTGCTTCTTTGGCAGCTCAGCAGCCCTTCTGACGAGCACGTGGGAATCTTCCTGGAAGGAGGACATGAATTATGGTTTGCTGCAAATAGTCCACTGCTATCATCTTCTCAAAGACCAGAGACTTTGGATTTGATTTTTACTGACTGTTGATTTATCCACTCAGATGCCCTAATCTGAAGTTGCGGAAAAGTGATCACATCTCCAAAGAGTTTAGGGATGGGGGCATTGGTTCATCAGCCTTTGCTGCAAGCCATCCTACCAGCAAACCAGGACATTTGGCAAGACTCCTGCTGCTCCTCATCACTGGCAAGAGCCCTCCCTCCATAAGTGCAAAACAGGCAGCAGCCTGGGACAGAGCAGCCACAGGACAGTTACCTTGTTGGAACTTAGCCCTGAGGACATGCACCCACAACATGGCATGTCTGGAGAGACCGGGATGCAACAAGACAGAGTGCAGGGAAAGAACTGGCAAATCATTTTAACAGGTTGAAAACAAACCTTATGAACATCTCCCTCCTTTCTGAGCAGCTTACAAAAAGAAGTGCTGCAGAATGGTTTTTAATTATGGTTTTTTTTGCTTTTTAAGGCAGGTTTGCTTTTTAATAATGAACAAAATGCTCCAACTCTTTCTAAATAAACACTTACCACTGACTGCCATCCCCTTGTCTCTTTTCAGATTGCTGTCCTTTCATTCTTCTGAAGGCATGTGGAGCACCCAGTGCTGCACTGCTGGGGTTCAGCAAGTGGGTCAGGCTTGGTACAAGGACCTCCAGAGACTGCTCAGCTGCTGAGAGCTGATTAAAGTTTCCATATTATTTTCATCTTCTGTGGTGTCAGATGGCTCTGCATTAGGTGCTTTGTTCTAGTAACTCCTTCTCACTCATGCAAGCAGTGAGAGGGGAGTTCACCTCATGCAGCTTCAGACATCCAGAGTGCAGGAGTCCACATCTCAGCCAGCTTTCTGGTCTCCCACATAGCTGCTGGAGGACAACAGTCATCACCAGAGGGAAACTCAGATACCTTAGATGCCTGCCTTAAGATCAGATGGCTCCAAAGCAATTTGACCTGATAGTTTACACTATGCCCAGGGTTGCAGCAGAACTGACCTAGCCCAGGGATCTAGAGAGGAAGGTGCTGGGGAGTATCAGAGCTCTGAGCATAAAGGCAGAAAGACCCAAATGATCCATCCTGCCTTTAGTTCACTGTACATCAGTTCCTTTCACCAAAGACCTTTACCTAATAAACCCAATATTATAGACTAAACCTGCAACCCTAGAAAGACGTTGTTATTTACTCTAAAATCTGGGGAAAGGCATAAAATTTCTAAGAGTTCCTCCTTACCCGAAACATACTGATTAAAACTTTCCTCCACTAGACATGGCAATCAAGTCACCCCCTTGCCTACTTTCATCCCAATCAACCAAATACACTACGCTCCTCAAGCCTGGAGTTCTGGTTTGGCAATCCCAAGTCATCTGTGGCTTTCCTTGAAATTCTTCCCGGCATTTTCCCTTCCTTCATCAAGTGCAGACACCAGGCAGTGTGTCCCCCTTTAAAGGGACAAAGTCACCTCCCTGCTTCTACTTGCTCTCCAGAGTTACAGAAGTTCATTCTGTCCCACAGTTTAGTTAAGAGGTGGCTTTCACATGATTACACATGAGGTTCTCATGAACTCCCTCCCTGACACTGTGCTCCCCAGATGGGCTCACAAAGACTTTAGACAATGTGCATCAAAAGTGCTGTCTTGTCACACATACCAGGGCTCTGCTACATAAGGGACATTGGCCTATTGATCTAGCCCAGTCTGAAACCCTGAAAACCTGACTGAAGTCCTGCAGAGGTCTGGATAAAAGTCTTGCTGTAGGACAGGAAGAGTTTCTTTCTTACAATGGAAAGTGGGTCCAAGCTGCTGCAAAGGCAGGTCAAGCCTGGGATGCCACTGAACTGCTAAAACCTCTCAGTGCCAGGTGGGACCAAGTCACCAGCCCCTTCTGGCAGGGAGGAAAAGGCTGCAGGTAGTAAGTCATAGAATCATGGAATGGTTTGGATTGGAAGGGACCTTAAAGGTCATCTGGTTCCAAATCCCATGCCATGGCCAGGGACACCTTTCACTAGACCAAGCTGCTCAGGGCCCCATCCAACCTGGCTTTGCCCCATTCCAGGGATGGGGCATCCACAACCTCTCTGGGCAACCTCACCACACTCAGAACAAAGAATTTCTTCCTAGTACCTAGTTTCTAGTTTAAACCTACTCTGCTTCAGTGCTCCGCTTGTGCCTTGCATTTTAATTCCAGCTGCATACCAGACAAGAAAGTGACATTATTTCATATTATCTTAATTTTCCTTATGTTTCTGCCACATGACTTCCCTCTTCTTTCCTCCAGTTATTGCACTGTTCTGTGATTTCCCAAACTCAGCTTCTCTCTGTCTTTGCCTTGCTGCAGGATCCCATGGAGCACAATTCCCATGGGTTATGCTGCAATCATGAGCTGGTCCTGAGACGTCTGTTAAATCAGCGCTGGCATCAGTCATCATTCATTCCTGTGGTCATGGAAGACCCATAATAATCAAGGTAGAGTTGCTCTGGCCACCCATACTGAAATTTAAATAACAAGCCCAATTTCATCCTCCTTCTGGAACAATTCGGAAGCAACACTGCATGATGAAAGGATGAGAGAACAGATGGGTTTTGTTGTCTGCCTGCTACCAAGGCAAACTTTTCATGGAAAATCAAAAAAAAAAACCCACCAAAACCCACAAAAAACCCAAAAACCAAAACACCGTGACTATGTGATTCATAAATTCTAAAAGCTGAGAGAAACCAGCAAAATTATTTTGTCTGACCTCCTGCCTAATAACAACCACAGAATTTCATGCAGTGATTTCTGCCCGAAGCCCAGCAATTTGTGGTTCAAGCAGAGTATCTCAACCAGCCCACTGTCCAGCTTTGATGTGAGGATGTCCAGTGAGGCGCTAACCACTTCCCATGCTGTCAAAAACTGGCTCTTCTACAGGTTGCCTGCATCTCTTCACCACCACATAACTTGCTTTAGCCTTCCCAAGGCCATTACAATTTTTAAGCATTTTTGTCCTCTCTCTTAAAACTCTTAAACCATCAAAAAGAGAGAAAACAGAGGTTGTGAGGCAGAAAACATCAAGCGAGTACATGGAAAGAGGATAATAGACCATCTCTATGTAGCCTTCTGCTGTGATTAAATGGATGAAATCTACACTAAAATGACACTCAAGGTCCACCCATTTTCCCACTCCAGATGACAAAGTAGAAAAGTTACTTTGGTTTAAAACAAACAAACAAATTCCAAATGCACACTTACCTGTGTGACTCCTAAGGAAAGCACATATGTTTGGTTACAAAAGTAACTGCCACTTACAAAGCTTGCTACAGTTTCACAGCAATAAATATTCCCACAGCAGAGCCCTTGAGTGGACAGAACAAAATCAACTTCAAAACCAACGCCTGAGAGATCAGCCCACTGAAAAGACAGCTCACTGCTGAATACCCGCTCTGACATTTTGTTTCCAAATTTCTGTGGTTGGTAGCGCTGATGGGGTAAAGAAAAGTGGGTTTGTGTTTTTTATTGGTTGTTCTTTCTTTCCTTTTTTAAGGAAACAAACCCATAATGGAAGCAGTCCAGAAGGCTACAGGACCACACTCATGTAAGATGAAAAATATTTATGTTGAGCACTGAATTAATACAAGCTCTTTTTCCTTGTATCTTGTAAATGCAAAATTTGATGACAACCCTAGTGATTAAAGTTCCTCCACCCATAGAGCTACAACAACCCAGGTGACAGCCTTGAGACCTCATGGCCTTCTTGAGACATCAGTCTGTGTTGGAGGATGGGAGGGGGCTTCAGGCATCCTGTCCTAAATCCACTCCCTTTTCTGTTCCCCATTAAGTAACCATATCCACCTTTAAAAAATCAGAACAGAAGGTTCATTCCAACAGTGTCTCTTTTATTGACATTTTCAAAGAGATGCTTTCTCACTTTCTGCCTGCATATGTGCTATGGTCAAACTCAAGCTGAAAAGCAAATTCTTGGGATGGCTCTCTATGGTCCCATGGTTCAGACTCTGTTGGGATAAGCCTCGCTCCATTTTCGGCCCCACCCTGGAGGGCTTAGTCTCACCTGCAGAGAAGGTACAGGTGCAGCTCCAGATCATGGAGGTGCTAAGCTGGCTGTGGTCAGCACGTGCTAATGATTAAGGCACAGAGTGTTTGTGTGGGGTGTCTCAGGGGCCTGAGGCCCACACTTAATTACACAGTATTACTCTTTGTGGAACCCGATCTAGTGAGGTGATAGCAGTAACACCTCTGGCCATGGCTTTCCCAGCCATCCACGAGTTCCTGATGCCTACACAGGACATAGGACTATGGCAACAGGAGCAGCACCCATGGGGAGAAGAATGGGAGATGTAGGTTTATGAACTAGACACTCTTTTTGGCAGATGAAGTCTACACAAACCATCTAGTGCTTTACTGTACATGAAATTTCCGACTGTTTCAAGGCAGACTTAAGGTGCTCTTCTTTAAGGTTTAAGGCATCACTACCTTGTGTGTGGAAGCTCTTACATCAATTAAAATCCTGTGTTGAAGAGTACAAGTGCAATCCAAACTGGTGCAACCTGTGTGAAACAAAACCTCATCTGAAGCAGGAATGGCTGAAACCCATTTCTATACCCACAGATCTGCAGAAATCAATGCTGTCATAATATAACAATGCTGTATGGCCACATAAATGCACTGACTCTGAAGGAATTCATGCTTAACAGTGGTTCAGCAGAAATGGTATTGCTTCTGAAATAAGCCTCAAGCACCATTTTTTGAGGTTCTGGGTAACCAACAGTTAAAGCTTTGCCTTCAAATCATCCATCCTGAAGCAGTCATAGGTGGCAAAAGTAGTGATCCTCACAGTGCAGCAGCACAGAAGATGGAGTGAAACCCCACAGCCAGTTTAAGAATAAGCCTCACAGTTTCCATTACTGCTACTGTAATGATTTTGCAACTCTCATTTATTTTTCACCATTTCAGCTGCTAGTTTGTGGCAAATATTTTGGAAATAAAAAAGAAAAAGAACCCTAAACCCCAGAGACTGCCCATCCTTGACAGGAACAGTCCTGGCATGCCTGGAATGTGTAAAACCACAAAAGAGCCATTTCTATTCATATTACTCCTTATGAAATCCCCTTTTAAAGAAGACTTAGCACTGGAGGCTTCAGGCACTCAGCAGAGCCTTTCACTTTGAAATGTGACTTATCAGTCAGAGCCCAGACGGGTTTGGGTATCTGACTGTTGTGCCCTTTGCTTCGAACCCTGGAACCGTTACATGCACAGCTGACAAACTGGTCAGGCCATTTCCCTCCCCTTCTTCATCTCCAGGTTCAGGGTAGATAAAAGTTGCACCAGGCCTGCTGCCTTACCAATACCAATTTGACCGCTAATTTTACTTTTAAGAAAAAAACCAAATAATAAAACCCAACACCACACACAACGATTATCACTGTTACCACAGAAAGGCCAGAGCAACCACAGTGTGATTCAGCAAGACCTGAGCTGCAGTGGGTATCTCTGGACACATGAGAATGTTCTCTGGCAACAAAGTTTTGCAGCTCTCTGACACGTCCTTTTCTCGTGCTGTTTCTACAAGTCTTTTTTCACCCTCACAGCTTGTAGCAACAGTGCAACGCTGCAGCTGGCAGCAGGGTCGGAGCCTGGTGTGAGCAAGGCTTTGATCAGCCCCTTGAACTTATAGGGATATCTACTGGGCACAGGCCGAGCAAACGCCCAGAGAAGTTGTGGATGCTCCATCCCTGAGTTCAAGGCCAGGTTAGAAGGGACCCTGAGCAACCCAGTCTAGTGGAAGGTGTCCCTGCCCATGGCAGGGGGGTTGAACTAAGTGATCTTTAAGGTCCCTTCCAACCCAAACCAGCCTGTGATTCTATGTGAGTTTGCTTTGC